AAATATTCATTAGCATTCCCATTCATCTCTTCGACACCATTTGAAATGCATGCCATGTGACTAATCACTAGGGGTGGGCGATATAACCAAAATCTTATATCACGATATGAGTAATTTTATTTCACAGTAATGATATATATGAAGATATCGTTGTTTTTGCTTTAAATAAGGTCTTTATGATATAAAAAATTTTGATACTATAAAAATGTCATACTTCTTGTCACCAGTGTCAATATCACAGTCAGCGATTAAGTAAGGATAAGAAACTAATTACAAGCAATAGGACAAAAAAACTACTGTAGAACAAATAAATAAGGAGTGCTATATACTGTATATAAAGGTTTGTGTTTTGATTCTATATAAAGCAGGGGTGCCCAACCCTGCTCCTGGCGATCGACTGTCCTGCAAAGTTCAGCTCCAACCCTAATCAAACACACCTGAAGCAACTAATTAGGGTCTTCAGCATCACTTAAAAATTAAAGGCAGGTGTCTTTGATTAGGGTTGGAGCTAAACTTTGCAGGACAGTCGATCGCCAGGAGCAGGGTTGGGCACCCCTGATATAAAGTAATCAAATGTATTAAACATATTCTTCACTGTGTAAATGAAATACCTGTATTCTTCTTATTAAATTTACAAAAGTTATTTGTGACCCTGGACCACAAAGTCAAGTCGCTGGGGTATAATTGTAGCAATAGCCAAAAATACATTATATGGGTCAAAATTATAGATTTTTCTTTTATGCCAAAAATCATTAGGATATTAAGTAAAGATCATGTTCCATGAAGATATTTTGTAAATTTCCTACTGTAAATATATTAAAGCGTAATTTTTGATTAGTAATATGCATTGCTAAGAACTTCATTTGGACAACTTTAAAGGCGATTTTCTCAATATTAAATTTTTTTTGCACCCTCAGATTCCAGATTTTCAAATAGTTGTCTCTCGGCCAAATATTGTCCTATAATACAAACCATACATCATTGCTTATTTATTCAGCTTTCAGATGATGTATAAACCTCAATTTGAAAAATTGACCCTTATGACTGGTTTTGTGGTCCAGGGTCACATTTAGTCAAGAGCAGTGAGAGAATCAAACTTTTGTTGTTTGATTAACGTGACCTAAATTACTCTGTTTAGACACCTGCAAAGATGAGCATTTTGACACATACAAGTGTGTGTATTTAACCGTTCAAGGCCTATAAAGCAGTAAAAATCACGTGCGCATGCCTCTCTGTCAGCACTCAGAAACAATCTTTCAGACAGCTCACGCATATAGCTAAAGGAGTTCTCTTTCTCTGCTGATTGCATTTCAACAGCTTAAAATCACTTATTTTTGCAAACTATCAATTTCCGTGACCTCGTAGCACAGCAACATCACATGAGCGTGTAATCACGATATAGAGATGATAGTCCAAAATCAAAAAATGACAAATTTCTACTGGTTAATCATGTCTACCGGTATATCACCCACCCCTACTAATTAATTTGTTGATGTATGATACTTTTATCATTTGTTTTGTCCAAACATAGTTTGTTTGCACACACCAATCACTCCTAGGAGTGTGGGATAAAAGTCCAATATAAACTAAAAAAAATGCAGAATCCCACACACTACTCAAACCTGCACCATTGCAAAATTATTATTATTATTAGCAATGTTTTGGTCAAACCAACCTTCCTCAGGCTTTCAAAACACAAAAATATCAGAAAATTTAAAAACAACTCATTAAGAGTTAGGCCACACCTCCAGGTATGCAGCCAATATAGAAAAAGACAAAAAGAAAAGGCTTAAATACTGTTAAAATAATTAAAAAGAAAACACAAACCTAATTCTACACCCAACTGAAAAATAATACAAATGTGTTTTTGTTTTTGGAATGATGTGGTTGAAATATGATTAGGGTTATTGTAACTCTTTCCTCCAGTGTCTTCCATTCCGCTTCCTATCCTTGTATCTCAAGCTCAATCCCACAGCAGGCATCACAGCGAGCAGATTAATGACTTAAACAGTGCCGACATGGTCCCAGGCTCACCAAGAAACCAAAAGAGAGAGAGAATGAATGCGGTGCAGCAGGAAGTCTTTCAGAATGACATTCACACAGAAGAGCCCAGCGAGTTGAATGAAAGCAGCATCAGGATGAAGATGACATGATAGAATGGGAAACAAAGAGAGAGAGATAGGAGATGGGATTAGAAGCAGAATTAATTAGTGTTAAGGTCAGCACATGACAAATTGTGGTTTTATAAAAAGCGGGAATGAAAGCGAGATGGGCAAACAGACATAGCAACTACCCATGGCACTTGACAAATCGGTTGAGGGAGAACGAGAGAGGATTGTGCATGACAGATTTTGACTGGCATCTCTAATTAAAAGGTGCTGTCAGGGGCCACAGTGCGGGGAGAGAGGGGCCCCATCAGCCCCTGAGACTCGTCCCCGGAAATGATTGATGAGCAATTGCAAGATAAACAAGACGCCCCATGAGCTGAGCTGCAAACTGATGTATGCAGTATTATAAATAAATCTGCACCAGAAAGAAATGATAAAATAAACAAGACAATGCAGGCAGACAATGACTTGCCGTTTCCAGAGAGGCTGGGCTGTTTGGGTACGTGGAGAGTATGAGTGTGTATGTGAGATAGAAGTATAATATGTTTGCTGCCATGCTGGGCTAAAGTGATGGCTGGCTAACAGACGCTAACAGCAGCTGGTTTCATGGCTGAGACTTTGCTGAAGCACCTGAACTCCCCACTCCCAACTCGCACACAACAAAACTGCAGCCTCCTGGGACCTAGCCAGACTCTGCCAGCCATAGATGCACCTTAATGCGTGCGCCTGTAGCTTTTCACTGAGCGTGCATACCCTCGTAGACGGTGTGTGTGTGTGTGTGTGAACGCACGGTCGAGTGTGAATGTGTGTTCTTGCGATGCTTCCTCGCTCTGCAGTTATTAGTTGTTGGGAAACATGTGTACTGTCATAAAGAGAAGCGAGCTGGGAGCTATTCAGATGCATACACGGTATCATTATCAACCAGAGGGCAGTGGGATGGTAAAGTGAGAATGAATTATGAATGGAAAGTTGAGAATGTTCTCGCGCATGTTTTCCCCACAGGACGTGCTCCACCGCTCATTTGCATCAGCGAGGCGCTGCTGGTCGTAGGTCTATATGAAATATACGGATTTCTCTCCCTCCCTTGACAAACAAAGCAGAGTTTTAGTATATTTAAAGTTGACATGAATAGAAAATTTACCCTATTTGAACACGTTTTAGAAAGGCTACATACGGTACAACTGGGGAATAAAAGATGCTAAATAGCTATTTGGCTACTGGTAACATAATTTTCTTAATACACTTTTTTCTGGTCTCAACGAATGAGTCATTGCTAGATGTGTTTATATATATATATATATATATATATATATATATATATATATATATATACAGGAACATATATTAAGAAAGTACTAAAATCTTTAATGTATTCAAAATTTTGAAATGGCTAGAAAATCGCAATGTAAAGGTGTACTGGGATACATAAAGATGCTCTAGAGGGTGCACTTGACCATCAGCCCATTTTTAATGGCCCAGTCAATTGGGATAAATATCATTTTTTACTTGGAAATACAATAACCTTAAAAAAGCTAAATTGTAGAAATGGTAAGATGTTGAGTATTCTTTTCTTAAATGCAAAAAAAATATAATAAAGAAAGGTCATTTAAATTATTACACTTTTGAGAATATAATTATCATACATAAAACTACCATCCAAAAGTTTGGGGTCAGTAAGAAGTCATTTTTGGTAATCTGTTGCATTTAGTTAATCAAAATACAGTTAGAAAAAAAAGTAATATTGTGAATTATTATTGCAATTTAAAATTACTGTTTACTATTTTAAATATATTGTCAAAATTAATTTATTCCTGTGATGGTAAAGCTGAATTTTCAGCAGCATTTACTTCAGTCTTCAGTTTCACAAGATTCTTCAGATGTTATTCAAATATGCTGATTTGGTTCTAAAGACACATTTCTTATTATTATCAATGCTGAAAACAGTTGTGCTGCTCAATATTTTTGGATTCTTTGATAAATTAAGGTTTATCAAATGAAATGAAAGTTCAGAAGATCAACATTGTTTAAAATATAATTTTTTTGCAACATTATAAAAGTCTATAATGTCACTTTTGTAGAACTCACTTTGATCAATTTACCCTTGTAGATTTAAAAAATAATAATAGTAATATTCATTAGTAGCTCCAAACTTTCGAACGATAGTGTAGAAGTTACGTGTTAAGTATATCCTGAAAAGCATATATATGATTCGTCTTGTTTAAAAAATGCTAAACATATTGCAGATTCTGCAAGGGATATGTAAATTCATGAAGCAGAACTGCAAGTCACATTACAGAGGTAATATGGGTTTCAAATTCCATTTTATGGTAACTTCAAGCCTTCTTTTAAGTCAAGTCAAGTCACCTTTATTTATATAGCGCCTTTAACTGCAAACTGTGCAGCATTACTTAGGAAAATATTGTGTCAAAAATGCAAAATGATAATAGTAAACACTCAGTTTTCAGTTAAAGGCAGTTCATCATTGAATTCAGTGATGTCATCATCCAGCTCAGTTCAGTTTAAATAGTGTCTGTAGGTCGACGATATCGCTGGAAATTAAGTGTCCCCAACTAAGCAAGCCAGAGGCGAGGCGACAGCGGCAAGGAACCAAAACTCCATCTTCTCCAGTTCTCCTCCTTTTATAACTCTGCATGGCCATGAACACCCATATACAAGTGTGTGAGGTGTGTGTGTACAAGTGTGACACTGGTATACACTGGTGCACCGCTGCTTCTCTCTCTCAGCCTTGAGTCAGCCTTCTTTGTACTTCTGCCGAATGAGTCCCACAGCACTAAAATTTCTCTTCCTCTCCCTCCCCACCCAACCCCATCTTCTTTCTTTCTTCCTTCCATCCACCCCTTCTCTTTCCTTTTCCCTCACTTCTGGATCTAGGCCACAGAATGGGTCGATGATCCTCTACAATAGGAAGAAGGTGAAGTACAGAAAGGATGGCTACTGCTGGAAAAAAAGGAAAGATGGGAAGACCACGCGGGAGGATCACATGAAGCTCAAAGTACAAGGAGTGGAGGTGAGGCGGTTTGTCCGTGCACCGTAGCACACACAACTTGCTTTGAGATTGTTGGGGTGCAAATAATGGGCACACTTAAGAAAAGAAGCCCGCAGTTTAGTAGTTGTTGCACACACTCGGCAAGTCCCCAAGTCGGCTCCAACTTTTTCTAGTCCACATTTGAGAATGAAAAAATACACCTCAGCAGCCCGAGTTTAGTTTTCCCTTGATGGCAAACAAAATGGAAGCAATTGTTTGTACCTTATTAAGCTCGGGATGTTTGCTCTGCTCCAGAGTGCCGGCATTAATCTTCCCCCATGCTGGGAACCACTGCCATCACAGGTAGACTGCAGGGCCCTTTTCTGCTTTTCCGCGCCCTGGCACGGCCCCGCTGTGTGTGTGTGTGTGTGTGAGAGCGTGCTTTGATTTATCTCCATTCATACACACATATACACGCTCACCAAACAGCGTGGGTGCTGGATCTAGAGTTTTACTCTTTTTTTTTTTTTTGGTGTTTGAACTGAATATCTATCATTTTGTATGGTGTCCTCTGGATAGTTGAGCATGCTGAGGTCATGTGATGTTGTTTTGCATATGCAAGCCCAAACTCATATTATGCAGTCATATAATTGACAAAACACACACACAGAATATTTGATGCACTTGCCAAGACATGCATTATTCTCTGCTTGCTCTCTCTTCATGGAGCTCTCATTAGACAGTGAACAGACCTCACTTAACAACCGAATCTCTGCCAATCATTTTCTGGCTGTGTGTTTCCTCACAGCAGATGTTTCAGAGGAAGTTTGGAGTTTCTACCGATTATCCATTAAATTCACTAGCTTTACCTCTTAAAGGTATAGTTCCCAAAAATTACTTTTACTTTTCCTGTTCAAACCATTATGATTTAGCATCAAACAAGATGCTTAACAGAATGTTTGCGCTTCTGTTTTCCATACAATATTGGGAACAGATTTTCAAACTGCAAAAATGGCTGAAAGTCATCATAAAAGTCTATACAACTTGTGCTCTATATTTCATATCATTTGTACTAACAGGAAAATACCAACATTTAAGTTGTTTTTTAAAGTTGTATATAAAACAAATATTACTGAAGTGTGTTTTACAAGAAAGTGCTATTTCAGTCTTTCCAGGCTTTTTTAATTATTTGCAAAATTTGAAAATGGTTTCAAAGTAAATCCTGCACCAATAGTAAGTAAGTGAGTAATTCATTTATAATCCTGAAGCTTATTCACATATTTGCATATTCACACACATTTACAGGACATGCAACAACCAATGACATTTGGCATTATTTTTTACATTAGTTTGTTTACATTTTTTACATTTTTAATGTATTTCATACATTAGTTTGGCTAATGACTTAAATTTTGGTATATTCCTCAAACAAAGCTATTTAATCACTATGGACGACTTGAAATATAGCACACAAAGTCAATTTTAACTATTTTTGGTGTGCTTTTGTGGTACTTTTTTTGACAGCCCCTGGCAGATGTTTGTGGCTTGGATGATTTTGCAGATCATCTCTTTTTGTGTACAATGGAAGAATGAATGTCAGTCAATAAATGATGACAGAATCTTAATTTTTGCGTTAACTGTTCCTTAAAGGACATTTATAGTGATAAAAGTTTCTCAACGCATCAGCCAGTAGAGTCTTGTAAAGTTCAGATATATGTGAGAAATGCTGCAAAGATCTTTATAGGCCTCTGTCATCTCTGAGGTGTCCTCTGACCCACACACATACTGAATTCTACTAAAAGATCTTGTTTGAGCTGAGGTAACTCAGAGTTGAACTCACTCAGTGAGCTGAAGAAACACTCAACTAAACCCCTCTCTCTCTTCCTTTCTCCCTCTCTCCTTCTTTTATATCTCTCAGCCAGCACCGCCTGCTGTCATCTGGCAGGCTTATCCTCTAACATGCCTCCATATGTTTTTTCCTGTGTAAATGGCTGTGGCTTACAGTGGGCTAATTTCAGAAGTGTGGCAAGAAGGCTGTGGGTACTAAAGTGGACTCAGCAGAAAATCGCATGTCTGGCAAGCAGAGAAAAAAAGAGTGCACAGTGAGAACACTTCCTAGCGTACAGCAGGCTTAAAGGGATAAGACAGAAGGAGATGTTTAGAGGAAGGTCCAAGTTGTTCTTTTTCCCACAGTAAAATGTAACCACTGCTTTCACTGGATAAATCCAGCTTGACATTCTGATAGAGGATACAGGAACGTTTCCTTTGGTGTTTCACACAAGAATTAGAATCTAATGGTTTGAAATGGCAAATGGGTAAGCGAATGACAGATTTTAAATTGTGGGGGTAATGCTGAAATAAGTAATAATAATAATTCCAATAATTTTTTTTTTCATTTTAGCAATGTAATTTTTTTATATTGTAATGTTTGCATTTAAAAGAAAAATGCACGCAATATATAGCACAGCCTACATAGACTACCATTCAGAAGTTTGGGGCCAGTACAATTTTTTTAAAGAAATTAATGCTTTCAATAAGCAAGAATTCAATTGATTCAAATTTTCAAATAAATATTGTTATTTTTAATTTTCTATTCATCCTTAAAAGAATAGCAGCACAACTGTTTTCCATATTAATAATCAGCATATTAGAATGATTTCTGATCATGTGAAAGTGAATACTGGAGTAATGGCTGCTGAAAATTAATCTTTGCCATCACAGAAATAAATTACATTTTAAAATATCTTAAAATAGAAAAGCGGTATTTTAAATTGTTGTAGTATTTCACAATATTGCTGTTTTTACTGTATATTTAATCACATAAATAGATACTGTATTTATTTTCATAGCCTTCAATTTGCACCTTATTTGAAGAACAATGGGTAGCAGGTAAAATAATGTTTATTTTTTCAGTAAAATATAAACAATGGGCATTTTTATTGGAATAATTTAAGAAATAATCAATAGATTAATTATCAAAATGATTTTTAGTTACAGCCCTGTTTTTGAGTAAAAAAAAAAAGCCCTGTCATTTTAAGAAATCCCCCTTTGTGTCTATGAAGAGACTACAGTCAAATGACCGCCTCCCCATAGGTGAAGCATAATGAGGCCTCTGATCAGATGGCTCCAGCAGCAAGTGGACTCCGACGGTCCTGTGTTTCTCTCCATCCGCTATGAGCAGCAGTATAATAGGGGAGTGGCCAGTCAGTACGTCCTCCCAGCACACCCCAGACTGAGCATGGAGCGATCAATCAGAGCTGTGCTCTTCAGGATAATAACCTTGCCCTATCAGTCTGCCTCAGACCCGTTTACTGCAAACGCAAATAAATGACGTGACCTTCACCTTCAGAGCCGTTTCACTGAGGGCTTTTTCTCCAGGAGGGGTGCGTGAACGAGAGGTGTCATATTGTGTGGTCTATGTGTGTTTGAAACAAGGGCTGGTAAAACTCTGGGCTACTTGACTGTTCCTTTAAGTGGCAACTGTGGTGGCTACCCAGCCTCCTTCACTCTCCTTCTCTCTCTCTATAGAACAGATGAACCTTGAGTTCACAGTAAAACTCCTTGTTCCCTAAAATTGGAGCAAGACGTGTGTTACAGCATTAGTACTTAACAGGGCGTGAAATAGCAGCCTGGCTTCCTGACATCTCCCCATCACTTCAGGTGAGAGTGTAGACGGTGAGATAGATGAGCATCCCCCCTTCTTCTTCTTACTCGTTCCCACAATGCAATAGGGCCACCTGAAAAAGGCATGTCCATTACTGGCTATCTAGTTTCTTTCCTTGTTGTAGTTGACGTCTTCCTCCTCTGACCATCAGCTGCAAAGGCCTAATCAGGAAGTCAACCACCCGTGATCCCAGTGCACAGCAGACTCATCTATATTCCTAATAATTCCTGGCTACCTAACCGCTTTCAAGGATAGCTGTTTTGTCTTTCTATTACATGGCTTTTTAGTACCATCAATTCAAGGGGTGAATCTGATGAATAATGTTGCAGGAAAAGTGCTGAAAAGTGAAAAAGTTAAGTGTGACATACACAGGTAGCTGATCTCAACTTTTTCTGTCTGTGCTGTAAATTCTTGAGGGATCATCAGAGTTCAGTTTGTATTTGTGTGGTGCCTTTTACAATGCATTGTTCCAAAGCATCTTTACAAAAAATTTATCAATTTTGAGAAAAAGAAAACAGTGTCTTGTAAACCCCCAATGAAAAGAAAAACTCCCTAGGATTTTATTATTTATTTTTGGGGTTTGAAATTTGGGCTTAAAGTCCCTGTAAAGGCAATATTAAATATGTGTTCTGAGTTTGTCACACCACAGAAAAATGTATTATTAACCACTCTTTTGAATGATGAAAAAATCAGCCAAGTAAATAAAATAAGTGATCAAAATCTTGAAAAATGGGCGGTATCCTCTGCTCTCAAACGCTGGGGGCGTGTCCGGACGGGAGGATGAAGGCCGAGACGGGAAATAGTCGGTTCGGCCCCATTTACCAGTAACAGTGGATTATCAGTGAATCCCAGTTGTCTCCGATGAAAGTTTATAAATTTATCCGGTGTAAAATGATCACTGCAGAGGCAGGTTTTGGTGGTGATCCTCAGCTCTCCATCAAGGTGGCTCTTCACAAAATTAATCCAACTCTTTTTGATATAATCATTATTAGGAAATTTAAATAAGGACACCGAGCTGTTTTGTATGTTATCGCAACCAGGAAATATGCATTTCAGTGACAAAGGCATAGCTAGCTAGCAAACTGTGTAGGCTTTGTGTTACTAACGGTACTGACAACTCACGATTGAGCGGGTGAACTGATGCGAATGTGCTCTAGTTATAGTGTTAGGGGAGGGGCCATGGCTCGGCGGCTCCAGTGTGTCATCGAACCCCCTATTTAGCCCCGCCCAAAAAATCCTAAACACAGAATTGGTGAAAAACTAAAAAAAAAGTCTAACTCCACTATTCAGTACTACATAGTTCACAGTCTTTGTAATGTGTTTCAGCAATACATTTGTAACATTTATAATGCATTCAGAAACAATTCTCAGAATTGAC